ATCACACAACGGTGAGTATTCTTTGGCATTGGAACGCATTAAACGCTGTTTAATGCGTTCCAATGCCTTTTTGTGTTCCGTAGTGCGATGTTTCCCACAGCGAAGGTTAATCCGGAACGGATTAACCTTGCTGTGCGGGGCACCACTGTAGTGGTGGCTTGAACTGAGGGCCGATGATGTTGTGATACCGATGGTGGTATGGGCTCATGTCAAGATTGTTTCGATGTTGAGTGTTCTGGTAAGGTGTCATGACGTTTACGAGATGGTTTTGAGGAAGCGATTTATTCAGAAGGCAGAGCGTGTGAAGATTTATGATGTCCATGTCGAGATGGAGATGGGGATGCCAAAGGAGAATGTCATGCCTGGTACGGTATTGTGTAGCACACTCTCTTAGACTTGTCATAGGGGACCTGTTTTGGTATGTCCTCTTGCATATATGCATCACATGATGGGTAATATGGAACGCCGTAGTCTCCTCGTTTGTGATACCGAGGTTGGTAGTGGTATCAAGGGATTTTGTAATGGTAACGAGGTGGCTCTTGATAATAGATGACTTCTCCATATCGAGGATCATAAGGTGGAGAGAGGTGTCTTCACTTACTGTAGATGTGTGTTTTCTGGGAGATCATTGGGGAGAATCAGAAAGTAGTATCAGTATCACCTGTCCTGATGATGCAGGACTAGAATGGGCAGAGGCTTGGATGGAGTGATCATTAGCTGTAGAAAGGCCAATAGTGGGAGCAGGGCTACTCACTGATATGGAAGCCTGCACAGGAGGTATAGAGTGATCATCTCTCGGTAAAGGAGAATCATGAGTGTCCCTGGATGATTCTTCCAAGATTGGAGAAGGAAGTGAAGGAGGAGGTTGCTCCATGAGTAGGGTCTTGGAGAGGTGTTTTGTGTTTTTTTTAGATTTTTTGGGTTTGCTCTTTTCCCTTCTTCTTTTAGGAGAGCTTTTAGCCTGGGAAACAGAGACTTTTGACGTCAATACCGACTTCGGTCTTGATGTCGATTTGGATTTTTCCTTTTGCCCTGGTGATGGTGGCGTCGGGCTCAACATTGATTTGGATGGCCCACAGCGTGAAACCGGTGATGAGGTAGGTTCCATCGATGTGGATGGAGGGTAAAGAGATTTCTCTCAGAGATGAGATCTAAGTCCCTGAAGCCAATGTTTGAAGGCTGGTTTAGTGAGCCTCTTGCACGCAGAACAAGATTATGTCTGGTGCTCTTCACCCAAACAGAAAAGACAGCGATCATGTCTGTCTGATTGCGGGATCTTATTAATGCAGAGTACACACCGCTTGAATGGCGTTGGAGAGGCCATAAAAGGGGAAAGGTGGCAGAGGGGGGGTAGGTTGGAGAGTGAAGGAGTGAACAAAAATGGATAAAACTCAATGGGTAAAAGAAAAATAACTCATGGGAGAATGTTGAATTGAAAATGGAAAGGTAGATGAGAAAAAAGGGTAAGGTACAGAGTACCGATTTGAAAGAAGTTGGTCTAGCAGTCGGATATAGGTCTAACCTACGTGGCGGCTAAAAGGAACTCAGAGGACCTTGGGCAGGCGAAGCATGCGCTCCATGGGGGAACTTCCTACTAATCACATATTTTTAACCTCTAGAAACCTCTGAGACCTGCTGCGCAGGCACAGAACAACCCATTTGTGTGCATTCATAGAGGCCACGAAGAAGATCAATCTGTTTTTTCTTACCTGTGCATTTTCTTCATCACTTGGGATGCTGTCTGTAGTTTCACTTTCTGCAGAACAAAATGATAAATAAAAAACGTGATTAATCCAGACATATGAAGTAGAATGGTATAACCTCTGTGGCCCCTGACGAAGGCTACCAGTGGCAATTGGGAGGAAGGAACTACACATGTGTGCACATCTGTGTGCATGTACCGTCTCTCCTCATGTACAAATCACAGGCACAGCAAAGTCTTAAATCTCTCCCCAGCTATTTGAGATATAGTGGTCACTGGTGTGTGTGAGCTGAATGTCTCCCCCATCTCCTAGTTATCTTAACAAGAATCCTGTTTAAAAATAGCAATATGTGAAGCCAAAGAACAGAATCCCACTGATCAGCAGGGTTGTGAAGAAAAATGGATGAATATTCTCCAGATTCAGGGGCTTCATGGAGAGTACAGGCTATGAATGCCAGTGTAAAATCTTGCTTTTTGGATTACAGGCTATGAATGCCAGTGTAAAATCTTACTTCCCCATAATCAATTAGAAATATAGGGGTTTTTGGATTGATTTATTATTATTATTATTATTTTTTGGGTAGTTATGGTTCCTCTTCTCCAAGGACGGATTTTGAGTCAACCCTATGAGGTTTATGCAGAACCAGCATAATCAATGTGAAACTAGCTGAAGCTTGGAACATCACAAGGATGCCAGGTGGAAGTTAGGTGGTGTGGGGTATGGGGGACTGTTCTAAAATTAGGAGTGCCCAAAGAGGATGTAAGAAATGTTGCTTTTGCTGAGGGTCAAAAGAGAGAAGTTGCTATTGTCAGTCTCCTTTGGGGTCAACAATTTCTTCTCAGTTCAACCCTGCAACAATAACTGTAATCACAGAACAGTTTATTTGCCATAAAGCAACGCTACCAACAGCTACATCCAAGAACCAATATAACCTTTCCCACTCAGTAATGTTTAGCTTAACTTCCAGGCTCAAGGTCTTATTTTTAACTGAGGGACTATTCATGTACTCTTTCAGAACTCAGCACTTGGTTGCTATACATTATGGCTTGTATCTAGGCAATTAGAATTTAACACACACACACACCCAACCAGCACAATTCACCAACATTTTCCTCAGCCAGAATTCTGGCACCTTCAGCCAAAAAAATCCAAATCCTCAGTGGAGCTACGGCACACACACCTGAGGCCCAGCATGTTCTTCTTGGCACCCACTGCAGAGGGAGAGAGAGCAGATGGAACTTGCTAAACTCCATGGGAGCTACAAGGAGTTGTGGGACTGGAAGTCTGTCTGCTCATTAGGCTCTGTACATGCTGGATCTCAAAAAACTACTCATCCCGGCTACATAGCCCTTTGTAATTCCCATGGAGTTTAGCAAGCCCCACATGCTCTCTCTCCCTCTGCAATAGCTGCAGAGAAAAACATACTGGGCCTCTGGTGTGTGTACCAAAATGCATTGGAAAACTTCAGTTTTTTGGCAACAGATGCCAGAATTCTGACAGTGGGATTTCCTGGTGAATTGTGGAAGCTGTTGTAAATAAATAAAATCTGAAAATCCTATGTCTACTTGTATCCTTCAAAAAATTGCTGTCATATATATTTCATAGACGTTACTTATTTACAAAACTGTATGCTAGTCCAGAATTCTCAGAGGCAGCAAGATTATCACTATACTGTAAGGCTAAAAAAATCTTCTGAATCGAATACAGAAGTCTTCTCACTTTGTTTTCATTCCTTGCAAAGTTGTTTTTTCATTTATAGGTACGTACACGCAAAAATTTATATTCCAGCTTTCTAAGTAAGAAACAACTCAAGGTCACTTTGCATTAAAAAAACACATACACACGTTAGCCCCTCTGGTTTTAGAAAGGGTTAGTCTACATTAAAATTAAGCTTTGCAGTCAGTCTAGGTGCTCTATCTGCCATTGCAGTTGGCATCTCAATCAGCAACAATGACTAGAAGTGCCTTACACTCTCATAAACTGATTCACCTGCTATGATTTTTCTTAAGCAGCTCCAAAATGTTCATGCAACTACTTAAAACTGAAGCCACAATATCATTTGCCAGTCCAAGGTTGCTTACCCGCATAGGAGGAAACAGGGGAGATCTGTAGTGGATATAATTGACTCATACTGCTGGGCTGGTCATCACATTCTGTTCTCACCTCCACTACTTGGCAAACATCAGGAGGATTGGAAACAATCATATGATCTTCAGACCCAACTTCAAAGTGCTCATCTCCTACAACTTTGTATGGTAACACATGAGAATCATGACAATTATCTGTACACATAGCAATCAAAAGCATACATTGTATTCAAGCAAAAACCATTGTCATGAATCTAAAATGCACAGGGAACCTATGCAGAGGGCTCAGTTAATGACCCATACCAACTGGTATTTGAACTCAGGGTTTTAAAATTTCATTGAAGTGGAATCTGCTTAGCATTACTTATGGTGAAAATCCAGTGCATAACTCTGGGAAGACAGAAAATAGCCCTTAAGGCTGACACTTCATTTTCACATCTGTTGGTTGCATGGAAACCAATATCTCTCATCTCTCTCTCTCTCATATATCTCTCTCTCTCAGGTCATTCAAAGAAAGAGGAAATTCTAACAAAACTGAGACATTCCTTCCTTGACAAGGGTTACAAAAAATCAAAACAGCCTATTGCTTTCTTCTTATTTTATAAAACAAAGGTTATTTAGCTACATGTATACCCACTTAAATCCTGTCTTGTCTTTCTCCTCATGATCAGGATGTCTGCATCTAGCTGAACTGAAACCCATGTTCAGATTTTCACTAGTGACAATGAGTTGTATAATCATATTTAAAGTAAGCTCACTGTAATCACTGTGACTGAAATGAGTCACATCTAACTTACACTGAATTCTAGTATATATTAAGTGTGAATAGGCCTGAATCTAACTCACAGGCTGCTATCATGACCTATACTAGCTCCATAAAACAATTAAATCTGTGGTGTGTAGTTTTCATCAAGATTCCAAACAAAACCAGAATATTATTACCCTGCTGCTATAACTCGTCAGATAACTGAAAGTATAGCAACACAGAACTTTAAAGGCCAAAGCTCTTGCTACAAGAATTTATTGGACATGAAAAGGAATGTGCTGAAATTGCTTACCTACAATGTTTATTGTACTGTCAACTTCAGATTTTATTGGGGAAGATAAGCAGTACTCGGAAAACCCCTGACTTGTTCCATTACTTAATTCATAAGATGACTCTTCTGGTTCTTGCTGGAAAGAGAATATTGTGGTGGGTATTAGGATTATTAATAAGAGGGAGTATGTGGAATAAAACACTTTCTCCTTTTATCTGTAGCCAGACTGTAGCAGATATGGTATTTTTGACCTATAGAACAGGAACCCAATCCATCCTTTTCGTATATAACTCATTTGTTTACAATGTGTGGCATTTGTAAGATTTCTCTCAAGAAAAGTCCATGTATGATTTGTCATGAAAAATGATGCTGTGGGTTTACAAACATCATTAAACCTTTATTCTTATTAGGTATTTATCATAGTTTTCCAAGTACAGTGGTGCCCCGCATAGCGATGATAATCCCTGCAGCCAAAATCATCACTATACGGATACGTCACTATGCGAAATAAAAAAGCCCATAGGAATGTATTAAAACCCATTTAATGCATTCCTATGGGCAAAAAACTGACCTTTATGCAAAAATCCTCCATGCCACCACCATTTTCGCTGCCCGGTAAGTGAGGAATCCGGGCCGAAACACAGCGGGCAGCCATTTTGCCATCTTCTCTGCTCCAGCCCCTCCCCCTCCCCGCCTTACAGCTGATCTGCGTTGCTCTTAGAAGCTTCCCAAGGCTTGCCCAGCAGGTAAACAAGCAGTGGAAATCCACTGGGGAAGCCTCTGAAAGCGGCGCTTTGCCGGGGTGGGTGTGGGTGTGGCAGGGGCAATGTTTATATTAGAACACTGCTGTAGTAAATCTTAGAGAAGTGGCATGGACTTGAAATAAATCTACCCATCTTTTCCTAGAAATCATCTTACAGTGCTGAAGTGTCATGAACTAGCTGCTGAAATGTTGTGATTTTAATATATCTTGATGGGATGAGGAGCGAATCTGCACCTCTGAAAGCCCCGCTTTGCCGTGGGGGGGCGCGGGAGGTGCGGAGGGCAGGGGGTGGTGGGCCTGCCCCTACCACACCACCACCCACACCCACCCTGGCAAAGCGCCGCTTTCAGAGGCTTCCCCAGTGCATTTCCACTGCCTGTTTACCTGCTGAGCAAGCCTGGGGAAGCTTCTAAGAGCAGCGCCCACCAGTTGTAAGGCAGAGAGGGGGAGGGGCTGGAGCGGAGAAGATGGCTCCTGGCTCTTTTCTGGGACGATTGCTTCCCCCCCTCATTGCAAGCTGTGCAAAAATGGGGCATTTGCAATGATGGGGGGGAAGCCATCATCGCAAAGTGATTTTTCCCTATAGGGAACATCGCAATGCGATCGCAAAAGCGATGGCAAAATCTTCATCGCTATGTGGGTTCGTCGTTAAACGGGGCTCCCGTTAAGCGAGGCACCACTGTATAGGGAAATAAAATGAGCAAGGAAGGGATGGTCACCACAAGATTCCATTCCACAAATAACAAGACTTTTCAACTTAACAAAGTCTTCTTAAGTGGAAGCCTCATGGCAAAATCATCTGAGTCATGTTACCTATTAAATGCACTTGAAGAGCACATGTCCTCCTGGGAATAAAAGATGTGAGCCAGCCTCTGTCATGAGACTAAGGCCTATATTCAGGCAGCCATGTTTTTTCTCTGTATCACATGGGATTTTCTTGATTTTTCTGCTTCTTGCTTGGATGGAGAAGGGGAGAACTAAAATTAAAGCTTACTGCATCTGTGGTCACCTTGAAATGTGAAGTTATCCCATTTCCAGAAGATGATGTAAAAACTGAGTGTGTATCTTGTGATTCCACCATACAGTGGATAAAAAGTGCTAATATTGTGCTGGATAAACAAAACGCAGCATGGCTGGCATGCACTATTTTCGCTCCAACTGCACCTCAGAGAAATATGGGGAATGATGTATGTACTGCATTCCCCATATGAATTGCACTCCTTTCCTGTGTGACCATAATTATTTGAAATTGAAAACACAGACATTGTACAATATGTCATTTGGCTATTTGTCATAGTACAAGACTGAAAGAACTCGGCATGTTTAGCCTTGAGAAAAGAAGACTGGGGGGAGATATGATAGCACTTTTCAGATACTTGAAAGGCTGTCATACAGAGGAGGGGCAGGATCATCCCCGACTGCAGGACATTCAGCAATAGGCTCAAGTTACAGGAAGCTAAATTTCAGTTGAATATCAGGGGGGAAAAAACTTCCTAACTGTTAGAGCAGTATGACAATGGAACCAATTACCTTGAGAGGTGGTGAGTGCTCCAACACTGGAGGCATTCAAGAGAAATTTAGACAACGACCTGGCTGATATCCTCTGATCTGTATTCCTGCACTGGGCAGGGGATTGGACTTGACGGCCTTACACGCCCCTTCCAACTTTATTATTATATTATTCTATGATCTTAGCCAAAGAGGGCTGCCACTGTGGAGGCACGAAGGCCATTTTTAAGAGTACTAGATCTTCAAAAGTTCTCCCATCATTATCAGACCATGAACAGGTAATATCTTTGCCCGCGAATCAGTAAGAATTACCTTAATTTGTTTCATTTTGTCCTCCTTCTCTGGCTTGGGTTTTTTCCCTGTAGAAATGAAAACAGAGTATTTTACAATGATTTCCTCAATTCTGCCAAACTCCACCCAGTATCTCCAAATATCAGAAAGCCACTGACCATAACAACTATTTTAGAACCGCCCCCTCAAACTGTCTGAAATCAAGGAAAGCTCTATAGCTGCAGAGGTTGCAGTTTAGACTGAAAGTGTGCCAATATGATTGTGATAAGGAGCAGATGCTTCATTAAAATATGCATAGGTATTGCAATCTAAAACAGATGTGGCACTCTGTTTTGCTCATTTCTTTTACCTCTTATCTTCAGGGGATTAACTAGCAAAACACAAGACATGATGCAAAACCATTATGCTGTGTTTCTCCTTGCCTTGAACCTTGCTGGGACTTTCCATATACAAAGCACAATGCTCTACTACTGAGCTATAACCCCTCTCCTCACTGGTACTAATTAATGGAGCAGACACATGCTTAGTGTAATGGTGTCCCATAGAGTGCTCAGTTGAAAACAATGGTATTTTCAAGAGAAAACAAGAAGAAGCTGGTGCCCTCTGCCTCTCAGCTGAAAGCAGTCACCTCTTTTCTCACACAAAAGTGAAGATACTACCAAAGCACAGAAATAATTCTTTATAAATAAAATAAAATAAATAATAATAATAATAATTCATTGCAAATGGATTCTTTACCCCTAATTCATTAAAATGTTTTTCTCAATTATAATATGCAAACAATTGTATTTTTAAGAGACAATTAATAATGGTTACAATTAATTTATTAGTGACCCTCTTAGTAACTTAGTAATTTTTTAATGTAATGGTTCTAATTACTTAATTTCGTAAAATGTCCCCTATGTTTTTAACATCAAAGAAATAACAGAGCTTAGGAAATTTCTGCTGGCTTGTATTAGTGCCAACACCAACATTTACAAACTGTGAACATGACAACACAAAACCTGCAGTTGTCCAATTTACAGAGTATCAATCTCCATCACCAAGCCATTCGTTAGGCCTACAAAGGTAGACAAGAAAACATCTACCTTTCTTAGATGGCCTTTCAGATAATGGCAACATCCGGTATACCCTGAAAGCATTATTTCCTTTCTTTATGCTTTTGTCTTTGACCTCTTCAATATCAGGTAATGAGTTCATTGCACATCGAAAATTTGCTTTCCATGTCTTTGGATCTGCTTTATCAACATCTGGCTGGTACTTTCCTAAGGAAGAAGAAAAACAATACTTGTTCAATTGTTCTTTGTTACACAGTTGAGGAGAATTTGCTTACAAGGGCAGTTTAGAGTGAAGGTTTAATTTCAGTATGAGGAAGGAAAGGCAGTGGGGAAAGGCCGGCCACCCAGAGACAAGGCCTGTTTTTTAAAAAAGGACAGCAGTGTGTGTGTGTGTGTGGGGGGGAAAGCACACTATAAGCTTCCTTCTTTATTCCAATAAGCTTGCCCATTATTTGTTTCTTCCCTTGCAAGGTAGAAACACAATACCAGCTGTTCCTACTGTATGAGTATTATTCTGAAAGCACTCCTATTACTATCCAGTGACATAATTCCCATGTGATGCAAGTCAAATGCTAAGATTCATGATATCATGCCAACAACTAGTAGAAGACATTCCTTTACATCCAGACTTTACTATTCATATGTGTAGCTCTGAATGCTGTCCATGATGTGCCTCGAAACATGTTCTACTTGTCCAGATTTGTCCATACCTGAATTATAAAATCAGCAGTGACCTTCAAGGCATATAAACCTCTCTCATACACACAATGCTTCCGCTCACATAGGGCTACCCTATTTATCTGAATGGAAAGGAGAGCAATGTGTAGACAAAGTGATACATGTGGAGACCTACTTCCTTCAGTTTATTCAAAAGAGGAAGTGCTTGCAGCTGCAAGTGCACCAAAAATTTACTGCACAACTCATGAAATGCTACCCAGCATGATCACATGAAAAAGTAAAACAGAAAATTGTAATATTTGGTGGGGGAGAAAAAGGCCTCACGCCATACCATTCTAGCAGAAATGTGTTTCTTTTACCTGTATGAATGGCCCAGTTCCTAAACAAAGGAGCATCTTTTTCAACATCCCACCCATGACGAGCTGCATGCATCCAAGGAATCTGAAAAATCTTTTTTTCCTGGAAGAGAAAACAAACAGGACATGAATACCAACAGCTTAACTCATACATTGTCTTAAATCTTGTTCTGCACATATTTTCTGCCACTTAGACAATGATTCAAGAATCTTTCTCAATTACTAAAGCTGACACTGATGCTATTTAAGGTTAGGCAAAACAACTAAACAACAACAAAACCAACTTGACCTCCCTTGTACATCATAAAATAGTACTAGGTTCTCAAAATTTATTGCCAATATTTGTGATACATTTATATACAGAATATTGTTATTGCCATGCCTTCAAACAAATATTTTAAATTTCATTGGCTTTTCTAAACATCTCAATTACTTTTATTGCCTAGAATGGACCCCCTTTGGGATTAAAATATGCATGTCTAGAAATGTCTCTGGCTGACTGAATACTCAAAAAATATAGCAGACTAAAAATTAAAAATAATTAGATACCTTTGTGATAACATTGAAAATTCACAATTGCTAGCCCAACGGGCCTTGCCAATACAAACAAATAATTATATACAGGCTTGATCACTGGTAACCCATAATATCTAGACATGTGGAAGGAGATTAGCAATTCTGACCGGCCAATTAACATTGCCTACACAGCCATGAATATAAAAATCAAACATTATGAGTTGCTTCACTTTGTAGCACCAAACAAGTATTCATTCACATGCTGCCACCGCCTTCTCCTTTATCCTCCCCCCCTTATCACCTTCCACATAATTGTTTCCTTCCTGGTTTTCAGGAAACCACCAGTTTGTGGCTTCATCTAAATCAGAAAAATGGTTTGTGCTTGTCTTGCAAGCCAGGATTATAAATTAGGACTTAACCAAGGTAAACATGAGCAGGATTCAAATCCCCACTTGCCCATGGAAACTCACTGGGAGAGTGGAACTAGTAAAACTACTCCTTTAACATTGCACTCATCTTGAAAGTCCTATCAGGTTTGTTGTAAGTCAGTTCTGACTTGAAAGCACAGAACACACACAAATATGAACAGAGGACTCATTCCTATACCACCAAATATTATAAAGGAAATGTTTGCCTAGTTTGTTCTCACTGCTTAAAAACACAGACAGGCCTTACCTCATTTAGCCACTTCAGACCTGGGATTTTGTTTGAATTTATTTGTTCTTCTAGCCATGGACGCATTCGCATTCTTTCCACAGGCATTGTTTCCTTTGTAAGAAGAGGAAGCTCTGATAAATTTTTTCTGGTAAGCTAGACAGTTTCCTTTTTATAGTACACAAAAGAAAACATAACTAAATTTTAAAAAATAAAAATAAAAATAAGCAAGCAAGCATGTATCTGAAAACCTTATGGGATGGCCAAACTTAAAGCAGACCCATTAAAATCCAGGATGCTTATATTCGTCGTTGCTAAAATGAAAAAGGCCAGGGAGGTAAAAGTAGCCTGAAATGGTCAACTATACTACTGCGACTTCTAGGAGAACAACCATCTTTTGGGGGGTCCAAAAACTTTGGGGTGAAATGTTACAAAATGGTGGCTGTAGCCCTCTGCGGCCCAAAGAACTGCAGTCCCCCAACTCCTGCAAGTTGCCTATTTCTGCCAGTAAAGTAGCCATATAAAAGTTAAAGGTTCAGTGTTAATCAGGTCCAACTTTTAGATAGAAGGGTACATGAGGCAAAAGGCATTTGGACATGTGGACTGGACTGGCCTAGAGACAGTTTTTCAATATTCAGTGGTTTCAGTGAGGGAGTTAAAGAACCACTCTCATAGGAAAATATTGACTTGAATTACATACTTAGATTTGAGTTAAGAACTGAAAAAAAACACGTGGGAGGCAGGGAAAGTGCAAAATTTGAACTTTTAGTTAACTGTTGGCCAGTGAAAAGGGTGCCTGTCTGCTTCCTCACTCCTCCCAGCGTTTAGAGAGTGGATTGGGGGACAGTCTTCAGACTGCCTGGTACTGCCTGGACTGTATTTTCCCTGCCTTCCCTGAACCTTTCTTGACCTAAGAAAAAAAGAAACAAAATATCCCCCTCTAGTGGTCGAAGGCGGAATAGCAGCTTCCCATTAGTTTCTATGGACGGAAAAGAGCAGATACGGATCAAATGGTTTTCAATGCATTCCTATGGGAAATGCAGATTTGACCTGAGAACTTTTTGACTTGAGAACC